TAATCAATGAGTTTTTCCAATATTGGTTTATTAAAAAAAAAAAATAAACTAGTTTTAAAAGGCATTATTTTATTTACATGAAGGCTTAAAGCATTTTGAAATACGTATGGAAGCGGAATAAAAAGCTATAAAAGATAATTTAAAAATCTTATATGAACACCTCACATCATTACGTACTTCAAAATAAAACACTTCATTTGCAACCTGTTATACTTAAACATCGACCCGTTTTCTTCACAGCTCCAACATCCCATGGTGGTGCACGTGTACCACCCGTACCGCCAGCCGGATGGCGTGAATCACTGCCAGGCGGTCAATGGCCATTGCTCCCATCTCTGCCTGCCATCACCCAGGATTAACGAGAGGAGTCCCCGCATATCCTGCGCCTGTCCCACGGGTCTGAAACTGATGGCCGACGGCCTCATGTGCGTCGAGGATCGTAAGTACCCGATAACTTTCAGAAGCTCTATAGCCGTATGCTTTTAATTTAACCAGCATGGCTTATGATTTTGATTTTGATTTTATGCTTACTAAAACCCGATTCCCCAATCCGGCATGACTTGCACCCGCATGCAGCTCTTTATGTGGCTCCAGTCACGAAACCCCCGCGAGCCCGCAAAACGAAACCGAGACCGAAATCCCCGCGCAGGCGACTGCCCACGGGTGTCCAAATGGGACATGCAGATATTCGGATTGGATTAAACGATGATCTCCAGCCGAGCACAAGGCTGCCTCTTCTGGCGACCACTTTGGGTAGGCCTGACAACCCTGTTCTGTGTCTCGTCCTGTGTGGGTGCACCCTAAAAGGGGAACTTTCGTTGTGTTGTCCTCATTTGTCTGGGAAGGCGTCTTACGGACAATAGAGAATATTTGTGTGCAAACCTTTTCAATTGTCCTAGTACTAAGTAAAAACTTTTGACCCAATGACCCCTGGGTACTTTAAAAGAAATTTAATACTATTTCACTCTGTCTTCTTTACTGTTTCACACTCTTAACGTCCTTTTCATATTAAATTCAGAAAAAGAAATATCTACAAGTCGAAAACATTAAAAAAAAATTGTCCTAACGCATAATATTATTTACCCAAAGAATTTTGTCTGTGAAAAAACCTTCTACTAGCTGACAAAATTACTTTTATCTTTTTGGATGTCAATATTTGTCTAACAACTTTAATTTTTAATAAAATAGTCTTGGGAGTCTGGACATTTCGATATTATTTTGTATGTCATCGTGTTTGTGTTGTGTTGTCCCTTTGTGTATTCTTCGTTTTGTTCTTACAATTATTCGTTTATTTCTTAACAGTATTTTAAGTTTAATATACACCATCAAACTTTGGCATGCAAATCTTTCAAATATGTCAACAATTTCGTTTGAATCCCCGTCTCACATTAACCCATCTCTGTCAGACTTTTAACTGACAAAAGCGGAAACGAAAAAACTTCATCAGCAGGACGTCGACGGAAATTTTGATTAATAAGACCCGAGAGGAGCTTCGATAGTTATCCTTTCGGATGGGTTGACAACCCGGCGACTTCCTCTCAATTTATAAGTTTCGACATCTTTCTCTGGCACGGTTTTCGCCCCAATCTCGCACTGTTTATGAACACTTTCGTGAGGGATTCAGATTTATTGCGAGCGTATTAATCAAACCGCTTGCCGAGATCCGCACTCAACCGAAGCCCTTTTGCGGCACAACATTTGCTTTGTCATGGTGCACATTAATCATCATCAGGAGTTCGGCAAGGACAACCCCATCTCTGACACTTTCATAAATGCCATCGTAGTTGAGCCACTTGCATCGCAGGCAACCGCAAGTAGGCAAGCGATGGGACCACACTGCAATTGAAACCTCTGCAGGGAGCCCCAACCTCATCACCCCCATCCGTAATCCCACAATTCCCAGGCCACAAAGTATGAGGTTAATATCGGGCGGTTTCTACTGCAGCCCCCAAGAGTGTTTGCTTTAAAGTGCGGCTCAACTTAATGTTGATAACTTTTACTGTTTTGACTAGAAGAAGTCCTCCCTCGACGACTGACAAAATCCCATTAAATGCGCTGCGTTAACGATGTCATTAGGTTGGCATTTCCATTGCCATTGCCATTGCCATTGCCATTTCCATTCCAAATCTAAATCGGCGGCAGGCCGCTTCTTTCGCATAAAAGTATTCGCCATCAAAGGCGCGAGCGCGTTTAAGTGTTTATTTGCGCCTAAATGCGCACTTTGAGCGATTTGATTGAAAATTCCTTCGAATCTCCGGAGACGCGGGGGCTCAAAGCCGCTTGGATTTTGATGTTGATTCCCTATTTCGCTTTGCTCTTTTATTGCAATGATTTCCGTTTTCGTTTTATACAGTTTCTCCTTTTGTTTATCATTGCTGTAGGTGAAGCAACCTTTAAGTCCCGTCATTGTGTGGAAAGGCTTAGCTTTTAAGGGGTAGAAAAAGTATTAGGTTGCTTTAGCTTAAAACGCTTCTATATGGTTATACTTTCCTGAATTAAGTGCTATAAAGACTTTTTCCTAAATAAAGTTTCATAAAATTATTTGGTTGATTAATAGCAAGTGTCAACTTTTATAGCGGCATGTTTTTATTAATTTAAACATTGTGAACTACTTAAGTTGTTATGGTAAATTGTTTCGTTTTTTTTGTAGTCCAATAGCTAATTTTCCCTGAATTAAGTTCCATTAAAATGTTTTGTTAATTAATAACTTGTTTCAACTTTTGTAGCTGTATGTTTTTAGTAATTTAACTTTTGTCTGCAAAAGTTAGTTAGGTAAATTGTTTTGTGTTTTTTTGTACATTCCATCACATTAAAACTATGTTTTTTTTCTAAATAATATTTGTGGTAGTTTTTATAAATGATAAAAAATATGAGCTAGTATATATCATTGCCTATTTAACTATTATTTAACCAACTTTATTCGTTATTTTTCTGTTGATTGTGTTAACATGTGTCCACATTTTTTGTTGAAAATTCGACTGATTTGCAACCCATTTTTGTCCCCAGTTGCCGACCAGCGTCCAGTGAAGAACCACACTCAAATCGAAAAGACCACACCGCCCAGTGAGCAGCCGGATTCCGGCTTTATTGCGCTGGTGGTTATAGCCAGTCTCAGTGGCTTTGCTGTCCTGCTATCGGTGGTAAGTTGGGCCAACAGACAGGGTGAAAGTGGGAAAAACTAATCAATTTATCCCGACATTGACAGCTCCTGCTCATTGGCTATCGCTACTGCAGCAAGCGACGCATCAACTCGATGAACTTTGAGAACCCCATCTACCGCAAGACCACCACCACAGAGGATCATTTCAGCTTGCGCAAAAACCTGCCGGCACGGATCTACGACCACACCAGTGTCATGGATGAGGAGGTGGGTTTCCATTCAGATTGCGAGTTTAATTATAATTGTAGGGCGGTGAAAGGACATTGGACCGATTAAAATTCGTTTTAAAAATAGCAAACCTTTAAAAGTTTGTCGCTCATATTTCTTCTGCTTTAAGGTTTATTTTAATATGATTAATATTAAAAAAAACTTTCAAAGATATTCTTGATTTATATACATTGTTTCTCTATATTATTTAGTTGATGATATGATTTTTATAGCTCATCTACTAAACTCATTTATTTTTTTTAATGTAATTTTACAGTACTCACCCGTCATAGGCATATCCTCGTACTAGATTGATTCCATTGGAATTGTGTAAGATGTGGATTGGATGATTCTTTCGCTTGGTCACTGGCAAAAATGTTGATGACCAAAGCTAACTCGAGACCCGCGGCAGAAAAACACACGCCTGAAGACTGAGCAACTCTGTGTATTGTGTAAATTAATTATTTTAAAATTTTAAGGCACGACAAGGATGGCGGGTCACCTTGAGGCGCATCCTTAAAGGATGCTGTACAAAATACTATGTCGCAGAGTTCTATCACAAAAAAAACAGTAACGAAAAACGTAAAACAAAAGAAGAAGTTTAAGAAAAATCTATTTGCTAATTATAAATTACATAGTTCCAAACTGTATATAGCTGTAAGTGTGCATTAATTTTAAATGAAGCAAATTAATATTACTATACGTAAACATGACAAAAAGATCATAATGCTTATGGTCTACTATTAGAGCGAGTTGAGATATTATATTTATGTTTTCGAGACGCAGAATCGTTTTATTATAATATCATTATTACTACATACGTATTAGCCTTTTGTTAACTGTATTTGTTAAGTGTACATACATATGTATATGTTTCCCCACTAAAAGAAATATGATGAATAATAAACTCAGATTATACTTATGTGTAGCATACTCCTTTGATACTATTATTTGAAGCTATTTGGGTATTTGAAAGTGTTTTATGACCGAATTTATGATAAACTCATAAAACGAGGTAAGTGTTTACCACCCATTTTGACTCTAATTATAAATTAATTACTATTAATTATAAATTATATCATATTGTTATACTATTTCAATGTTGACTTATAGCAGACATTGGGTTTCTCTTACCAAGAAAATGATCCATTGGAGGCACAAATGTATCTAAAATACAAATCAAATCGAAGCCTTGACTTTTTGACCCATGCCAACAAGCAATTAGACCTATAATTTTAGAAATTGCCTACCATTGACCATAAAATAACAAATAGTTGAACACACCTCCTAAACTATTTTTCCACATGACCTAAGAGAGCGTCGTTAGAGGGAACCACCTGCTAGCAACCACTTCAATGTCATATGGGGTGTTCTCTTTGGCTTTATAATCTCTTCATGTTTTGGGGATCCGCGATTAATGATCTCTCTTTTGGAGGCCCCTCTGATGATGTCGACCCATGTGGGGCCAGCTCTCTTTCTCCTCTCTTTTTTAAAAGGTGAGATCGGTTAAGTTCGGCTTGTACGCGTGGCGATCTTCGGTTCGTCACCCGAATGACACACGAACAGTCCCGAATGGTGCCATTGGTCCGCACTTCAAATAAGCGATATGTTTCCCCGGCAGTCTGAAATCGTCGTGCGTGCCGTTTGGTATACCACAGTATCGCACATCGCGTATCCGCTACACGCATTTGAATATAACTTCACCGTTAAACCGAACAAATTCGGAGCGCGAAAAAAGTTTCGGAAAGCAAAAGTTGAAAGCAAATAAAAAAGTTCAAGTCGGGGCTTTAAGGCCAGATCATCGCATTTGCCGAGCGAAAAAAGTGTTAATTGAAAAATAATGTATGAATCTATTTTAGCCTAACGTTACGTCAATATGTCATGTGAAAAAACAGCATAAAATTTGCGGCGAACATGTGTTTTGCCGTACAAAAAAAATAAATAAAAGATTTGGAAAAGGGAATGGTGTCAATGGGTAGCGGCTGCGCATGACTTACCAGGCTTACCTGGCTTATCACACGTTACAGCGCTGATAACTGATATATTAAAATACACACACTATAAAAGAGTGAGACAGCAAGAGGGCTAACCCTCGTTTTTAACAAAAGTCGTCGCCCTTAGTTTGCACTTTTCTGTGTGTATTTCGTGTTTTCATTCCTCCTATGCTGTTTTTTCGCAACATCGTATGATGTTTCTTTTTTCAGTCGTGGCTTTTTTAGCATGTTTATCTTGTCTTTTGCCTCGCACTCTCTTCCCAATACATTCTCTCACTTTCGTGAAATTTTTTGGCAAACCTTGCGTGTGTTTTGCTTGGACTTATTATTTAATAAGATGGCCGTATATAAATAAATTGCAAATCGTATTAGAGTGAAAAGCGTGTGTGACCCACTAAGCCTGAAGTGCATTTTTACCATATATTCTAGCAGCTGCAGAAGATGGCAACAGCATGCCTGCCGGAATTCACGGAATGCTTTCAAAACCCACCGGCGGAGCTACGAACAAATGAAAGTGGTAGCAGCACTAGTAGTAAAGAACTATCCAAAACCAGTGGATTTTTCTTTAGCGCCAGCACAAATTACCACAGCAAAGTGCAGCAGCTGATCAGCTTCAGCTTCACCTCCTCGTTCCACCTGCTATTTATTACATGTATCCTGAGCATCAGCAAATTCTGCAATGCGGCGGCAGTCAATGCCGCACAGGTCACCGCTGCCACGCCCACTGCCAGCGAGATAATGCACAATCTGAGCGGATCGGCATTGCTGGAGCGGCTGAAAGCCAGTACTCTAGGACCGCCCCTGGATCGATTAAAACACATAGCTCCGGCGGCAGCGAATAGTATAAGTCCAGGAATCGGATCAGGAATGGGAATCGGAATGGGCAACTTTGGCAACTCCATCAACTCGGTGTTCAATGGAAACCCTTTTAAGTTCTTGAACGTCTCGGGCAAGGTCGGCACCCCACTGGATGTTTGTAAGTTTCCCAACTTGATTTGATCATAACCATAAAAGCTAGAAGATTCTAGATTCTATTTCATTTTTACGGGGAGAGAAATAATTATAGGGAAAAGGGAACTAGACCTAACATATTATGAAGGCACTGTCAACAAAATTAGAGTCTTTTAAATGATTTATGATTCATTTAAATTCATTTGTATGGTCTGATGTTGGTAATTCGTTATTTTTCAAAATGTGCTTTATCTTGTGAGTCATAATAAATTCGAAACTGTATTTTAAAAAAAGTTTAAGTATACAAGCATTCATAATATTAATAGCTTATATTTATATTAATATATCGTAAATTAATCATTAAACAACCAATATGTAAAGAAACTCAAAGTCATGGTGATATTTTTATAACTAGAGTAATTGCTTTACAATCATTAGAAAATGAGTCATTTCTAAAACGGTAAACTCATTTTGCTATGGATTTTCCAATATACATATAAAACAAGTACATTATTTAAAAAAAAATTTATTAAAAAAAAAACAAGAGTTATGAATAAGAAATGAACAGCCTTTTCACACTTTTCAGACTTAAACAAATTTGTATTCTCTTTTTAAAAAATCTTAATAAGTGATAAATTAGTTTCCTACCGATGATTATTTTTATCAGATCTTCTTAAATTTCTCCAAGTTTAATGAGCGGCGGTGTTTATTGTTTTTGCCGCCGCTTCTCTCATTTCTGGCGATCATGCTACCAGCCACGGTTGCAAATGTATATATGTACATATACCCCGATTTCCAGTCCGGCTCCGATTTTAGCTAAGGCTTCGACTCCGACTCGGCTCAAGTTTTATTTATGTGAATTTTGTTGCCAGCCGAAAGCCCAATCGTCTGGCAATGCCAGTCAACTCCACTTCCATTTCCATGTCTCAACATTCCAACGTCATACGACTGCAGAGCTCTTCCCCGCTCTCCCCCTGCCCAAAACTCCTTACCACTCTTTTCTGTCGGCACAAACCTTTTACTTTCCTCTGCACTCGCCTCGGGGTACACTCAGGAAAATTTTCACTAAAGAAAGTATTTATTAAAAATAAAGACTTAAATTCAAAGACTTTTACCCATAATGAATTTGAAGGTGTTTTAATCGATTTTCATGGTAAATCTATCCAAAATCGAGTTTTTGTATTGAAATAAACTTATTTTAAGTGTACACTCTATGCTTATTCTTCCCCATTTGTAATTATTCCGTTTTATGCTTTTTTTCTACCGGCCGGCTTCGCTCCATGAAGCGAATGGAGCGCCACTTGAAGACTTGTGAAACTGAGAGAAACCGAGAAAACAGGGGGAGAGAGAGAGAGAAGATAAGAAAATCGGAGTAGCAGACAGAGAAAAGAGAACAAAAAGAGCAACAAGTGTCTTATTCTTGGAGTTTCTTGCCTTGGCACATTGGTCAGAGAAACTTTTAAAATGTATCCAGCACGTGGCAGATAAAATATTACGATAACAACTGGAGAGGTTCAAATTTATTTTTAACCGACGATACCTTCTTTTAAATTGTTAATATAGGAAAAGCAAAATTAACATTTAAAATCCCTATCTCTTCCTCAGCTTTTCAAATTATTTCTAACTGCTTTCATAATTCATTTTGAATTTTAATAATTCACAAAAAAGCACAATATTTAGGAATAAATATAAACTAGTTTTGTTGTCATCTCTAAAAGTTTGGATATCACTATCATTTTGCACGCTGCTGTTTGGGCTTAAACAATGATAATGAATAAGCAAGTATTTGGCATAAAAACCTACGTAAATAATCTACACAAATGCATATGTAAAAGTTGATGAAAAATTAATGAAGATTCTTGAATTTTGCACAAAGTACGGTATGGAAATTTTAATTTAGTTGGCCTTTATCAGATTTCAAGGCTTAGTTACACAATTAGAGTACACCAGCATAAAACCAAGAGCCTACCATCTATCACTTAGTTTATATAAGATAGTTTTAGTTTTTTGTAATATTTAATACAAAAATCAACACAAAAATGATTGATGAGTGAGGAAGTTTATTATAGGGGAATCACAAATCGATGAACTCCAGGCAAGTTAGTTTTTAAATTTTAATAAAACCTTCAACACTGCAAAAACCGAAATTTAAGTCTACGCCAACGAATGTCAGAGCTAAAAACAAAATGAATAACTCTGGGTCATGATAATAGCCGTAGCTTAAAGGTTAAACGCAGATGATTGAAAGTGCGACTAACGTATTAATAACCGTTGCATCACGAGATAGTTTACTAACTATGTCAAAATAATTTTCGCCGTTATAAATAGCCCAAACCAAATAAAAACCAATCGGTAGGAGTAAATGCATTTTCGCTGTAGTTCTGACAATCTCAATAAAGGCTAAGGCTCAGGTGTCAAATAAATCGTTAGACAGGTTATAATAGGGGAAATAGGTCACGGCGAACCAAGATGACAGTTATTTCCGCCCAACTAAACTTGGAGCCCGTAAAATCGAAATCAGTAGAAATTACTTGCCTGGTGGGGAGCGGAGAGGCTAAATTGACAACTCTCATTTGGCAGCAAGTTCTGGGCACGTCCTTGACAGCTTTAATGACTCTGACTGCGACAACGTAAGGTTCCCAGGCTTCGACTTCCTGGCAGTGCTGATTTATTTCAAAATCGAATTTAAACAAGTTTGCTCATCGCCTGCAAAATACTGTCGACCATTCCCAACTTGCCCGGGACTTTTATAATTAACTTGGCTAATTATGCCTGGAATTTGCACGTGCTCTGGATCGGACTGTCCCTGATATAAAACTTGGTCTCTGGAAGTTCGTTGCGACTGTTGCATTACAGCCCGGCTGCCTTAATTACAAAAGCATTTGCTATTATGTATAATTATGGGGCTAAAAAAAAACGATTTTCCTTTGTTTTTTGTCGAATACTGGTTTTCAGCACTAATGGAAGCCGAACAAGTGCAGTGCAATTGTTCGTGGTCGACTGACAAATTTCAAAAGCGATGCATGCAAAACACAATCAAACGGTGTTAACTGTATCTCAATGCTGGCCTAATGAGAAGTGGCAACGAGGTGTGATGGTCAGGCTTTTTCTAACCTTCGATTCGCAGCATGTTCCCACACAGCCCAGTGAATTTCTCTTTTCTAATTGGTTTTCTATTTTGTGCTTCAATTAAAATATTACGCATACGCAGCGTTGGCGAGCCAAATTCAGTTACAAGGCAAAAAGGTGGCGTGATGTGTTGGCTAGCACATTTGCTGTCAAAAAATTCCCACAAAATCACATTGTAGAGAGTACGAAATGCATTCATTCCGTAGATGAAACCCAATAATCGTATGGCGCTATATCTCACAACAAATAGCTGATGACGTTGACGAAATTCCGAGCGACTACAAGAAACATCATTCATTATTAGCAGATAGTACTGAGTCATCTTAATGCCATTTTCGCCGCCTATACAACTTTGGCCAGCACATGTATGAGTAATTGTTAATGTTGTTAATAATGTTGTTTGACTGTTTTGGTCGGGTATGACGTTAGCGATCAGGCCACCTTTTTCCCACCTTTTTTCAGAAACTGAAACAGCAACAAAACAAAATACTCGTACACAAGCATACCGAACAGATTCACATCTCTTGCCAACATTTAAGAGCAGTCTTAATAGTTTCTCTTTAGTTTTTATCTTCAAAAAGACAAAATGCTTGGAATGTTAGAGTTCAGAGTTGAGAGATATACGCCAACGAGTGTTTAGTGTACGGGTTGATATCCAAAGCGCAATGTTCACATGGTTATACAATTATTTGTTGATTATTCTTTATCGTCGTGGCACAGGTACCCATTTTTATCAACCAAATGTTATCTTCAAAGCAGTGGAAAAATCACACGAAATTATAATAATTATGAGATAATAGCTTGGGGTGCTTTCGATAAAGAATCTGAGCAACTCATTTTACAAATTTGGCAATTTTAATAGTTCTCTACTAAATTAAAAAAACTATGATACTCATGCTTAACCACACAATTTTAAATTAAAACGAACTACGTAGCTATGACTTAGACACTTGAAAGATACGAAATTTTATTAATCTTCCGTTTACTTCGGAAATCCATTTATGACTAAGACAAAATCTATTCCTTCCATAAAAACTACAATGAAAAATTACGTGGTTTTGATAAGGCTTGAAAAATCGTAGTACAAGCGATAGGTGTTTTTAGTTTTGCTTCTTTTGCACTCTGAAGGTTATCTGTTTTATCTGAAGTGGCTAGCAGGCGCTTCTAGCAATTAAGATAACTAACTAATCTATACAAAATAGTTGTGTGTAAAAATCCAAAAATAAATAATTCCAAAAACGCCGATATGAAATTTGCACAACCATTGAAAGTTATCTAATATATGTAAATACTGTAATTAAAAAGAGTTTCTAACCAAACTGTACAAATAAAGGGTTATTGCCACTTTCGACCTAAAAACTACTTAAAACTTAACTTTGTAATATATTTTAATAGCGTTTAAGTTGAACAACATGTAAATTTGTAAAATACGCATAGAACTTAAGCGACTTAAAAGAAAACTAAGAACAGAATAAAATCTAATGATTGAGCTAAAGTATTTAAAGCATTCCTTTTAGCGAGCTTTTAGTTAAACAGCAGTATAGGCTAAGAATTTTTAAAGAAGTTAAAGTACCAATCACTTCATTAGGTAATAAATCGAATAGCTATTGAAATCCATAAATAAGTTAACCTAAACCTGCACATCTATAAATACCTTCTTCCAGTCTGTAAATTGTTAACAGTGGACAAAAGAATGATTCAATTTGTTGATGTGTTAAGCCTTCTTATCACCATGAACGGCTGTTCAGGTGCAAAGTTCCTCCTATCATATTTCGCTGCTTTCCTTTTTTATCTAAATGAACTGGACATATTTCGCTTAATTTGCGTAATTCTCTATTGATACTGCAGTGGAGTTGACCATAGGCGAATCAGTGATTAATCACAGACTATTATAGGACTGCAGGCGTAATCAAATATAGGGAGGTTAGGAACCAAACATCGACAACCTTTCGTGCCATTAATAAAGCATTTATATTGATTTGAACTCTGATTGACTTTTGCGCTGATTTCTGTTTATTATTTCGCCCTCTTGGCTAACCAAGACAGCCCTCCTGTCATGCCCTTTGCTGTCATCGAATTAATGGTGCGAAATTTTCATGTGAAATACTCTTGACCAGCATTTTCTTTCCTGATTGATTCCTGGGTGAGAGCGAGGAATAAAGTAAAATAAAACTGTTCAATGAACTTCGCATTAAGCATTTAATTGGCCAGTTGCCTGCCGTCGCTTCTGTTCTGGTCGGACATTTGTGATTCCGTCAATCAAATTGGCGGCTATTGCCGACGGAGGGCTGCTGTGGTCTTTGAAAACACAGAACAAATTATTGCTCACTGATTTAATTTGTATTAAATCGCTGGGTAGGAAAACGGTGCAAATTGCTATGAACATAAATGCTTAGAAAGGAAATTGATAAGGTATATTTTTAAAAATGATGTCATTTAATCACTTCAACATAGACTGTATCCTTAAACAAATCTTTATATTTTAGAAAGGTTATATATCTGTTAATACAAAATCTCATAATATTTCAAATGACCTTTAGGTAATTGTAAATTCTGTATTCAATTTGATTTGTTAAGAAAATCTCCATAAATACTTTAATCTTTTTGGAAGTATGCTCTTACTTATCTTTGAGAATTAAAATAAACGTGATGAGCAGATGAAAACGATAACGGGATTGCGAGAATGAAGCAAAGAAAATAATTTATGTGTGTCCATTAACCAATTGGCAGCCATAAAATAAATTTCAGAAAATGCAAATAAATAGCATGCAAAAAGAAGTCGAGTAAATTGCTTTCGGTATGCTTTGCAGCATGCCATACACGTACGAGGACTAATCTAAGCGCCTGCAAATGGATCGGACGGGGCCTTTTCTTTTAATATTTATTTCAATTAAGCTACTAAACGACTCACTTAAAATGCAAATTGCATTGCACATTTACATGCAGATTTGTCTACAAAAGCCATTGCAATATCTGAGCACCAAACAAGTGCATCCAAACGCACACGTAAGGCAGGAGCAAACAAAACTGTATTCATAAATTCAAAATGTGTGCGCACATTTTAAATAATTTACAGGAACTAATAAAAAATGTGCAGCTCTCACAAGAATGAAATGCTGCATAAGGCGGGGGAAAACAGGAGTTTAATATATTTTGGCAAATAAATACACATGTGAACATAAGAAAAATGCAGAGTGCAGGACTGAAAAATATAAAAGAAGTAGAAAAACAGCGAAAAAAGTGGAAGCCATGTAGGTAAAATTTAATGCCTTGATCGTCTAGAATTTCCTTTGAACAACTAAAACACACACTCGCCAGTTGCGTGTCATTCGTGCTTCCTTTGATTGTGTGTGTTTCACCTAAACGTGTACGCATGCTGAGGAAAATGCTTGACATATCTGATTGTGTAATTAAATGCGAATGTGTGTGTTCGAAAGAGTTGACCAACAATACTAAAATATCCATTTAATTCTCACATCCTAAAATTTGTTTAAATTTAATTTCATAAATGAGTAATTTAGTTTTTTTTACTACAAAATTTCATTTTAAATTTTCTGGCTTAATTGCGTTCATTAAAATATTTTCAAAAATATCTCATACGTAGTGTTAGCCAGGTCAACATTTTTTTAGTTGCTAAAGTTCTCTAGCATAAAAGGGTGTTTAACTTTCACCTCCTAAAATGTGTTTGTACTCTTTTAATATTCCTGTTTCACCCCAAATGAGTACTATAGTTATTTCTACGAAAAACACTTAAATGCATACAGAAATAACTCATACGAAGTGTTAGCCAGGTCAACCATTTATTCGCTGCTAAAGCTCACTATCAAAAAGGGTGTTTGTTTACCGATGGAAAAGTAAAAACGTTGGTCTTTTTGAGTCTTTTGGCTACGTATTTGTACAAAAAGTCTTTTACGACCCCTTAAAACTTTAAATGAACTAAATAAACATAGTATTTCAATTTACTCAAAAAAAGAGGAATTTCATAAATTAAATTTTTTTTAGTACAATTTTTAAAATAAATGAATGAATTAAATGAACTATGAAAAATAAAAATGTAGTTTTTACAAATTTTACACCGACTGTCTCTTTATAATGTTACTAATGCCTAAACGATATTTAATTTATTGGCTGAAACTCTGGTCCACTCTAAGAAGCTCCTGTGGCTGTTTGTGACTTTCTGGGTGAGCTCGTGCGTGATTGCGATGGTGCCTAAGCAATTGTCAATTTGTGTTAAATGCGCGCAATTAAACGGTAAATGGCACGCGGATAGACCGCCTCACACACACACTCAGGCAAAACTGAGACACTTTGGCATAATGGCGGCACATTAACCGAAAGTCAGTTGGCTTTAGCATATATGCTAATCGGTCGACAAGACACAGAAAATGAAAGATAGATTAGGTTGGCCGAGTGAAATGTCAAGTGGCCCGTAAAACGATTGATGAAGCAATCCAATCCCAGCCGACACTTTCCAACTAGCTGCCATCAAATTCTCGCTTATTAATTCCCTAAAACTTTCTGCCCTTCATTTGGGGTCCTTTTTGCGGTCCACCGCATAAACATAGACCGCAGCAAACACCCACTTACTCATTTATATATAGACATGTGTAAGCCTCGCCCTTCGGCTGGATTTCATTATTTACAAGTTTTTGTTTATTGTCAAGTCTCGGCTTTCATTAAAAAGGGTTTTAAGGCTTGTCAACAAACGCCTCTCATCCTCACTCCTCTCCTCTAACCATCGCTATCTCTGTTCCTCAGTGTGTGCTTAACGAGCCAAAGTTTTCAACTTAAATTTTAGTTATGAATTTTATTAGGCCCTCCCATTGGGACGAGACTTCAACTACGGTCGCCCCCTTCTCCCGTTTCCGTTTAATTATAGTCTGCGGCTAACCCGAGGATTTCAACTTAATTAATTAATATGCATTTGATTTTGCAGCGCTCAGTCTACCCAACATCTGCGATGAGAAGCAGTTCCATTGCTCCTCCGGTGAATGTATCCCCATACGATTCGTGTGCGATGGCGACCCCGATTGTAATGACCACAGCGACGAGCTACTGGCGGAGTGCAAGTTTCCAGGTGAGTGCATAGCTAAAAAAAACCAAAAAAAACTTAGGAATTTAATACCGTTTTTTATTTATGAATCAAAGTTCAGTGAGCTTGCTTTATAGTGTATTTAAGCTGATGCGCAGACTCGATTTTTTGGTCAACAAGTAGACTTAAAAAAATATAAATAATTTTTGTGAGTGTGAAAAATTAATTTCAGGTACTTTTCCAATTTTCGTTGAAAACTATTTGTATATTTTTCTGTAAAGTTTGGAATTTCTGCTCTAACGAACAATGGGACAAACATAGACAAATAATTCACATGAAATTCATTAGATTGTTGGCCATGCTTCCCTTGACTTTTTCTTTCTATTCCCATTTTTTCCAAGTTGTATCTTTTCGGTTTTGATTAGGCCCTAACTTCAGCTACTGTCTTATTCAAATACACTCGAAAGGTTGCACAAAATCTCACACTTGAAAGAAATCAATAGCCACAGCCGCAAAACGTATTTCCAGCCGTATTTTTTTTTGTTGTATCTTTTGCTGAAGCCTTTTAAAGGAAAGTCTTGCCAATTTTTTTAGCCCTTAGCTGGTGTTGTTTTTTATTTATTTTCTTATGTGTGTGGCCATGGCTAAGAGCAGGACATCTACAAAGTCAAGCGCTGGACACGGAACGGGGTTTGGTATTGGGATAGGGATAGGGATTTACGGCGGAGGCAGGACCAAAAACCCAGCTGTTGCCTGCGAACTACGTGCGCTCTCGCTCTAATCTGTTGTCAGTCATTTGTAGTTTTTCAATTTAGAAATGTCACAGAACTAACCATTTACTTCGCTCTGCGTGTGCTGTTTCCCTTGGTATTGGTTTTTTGGTGTTTTTGGTGTATTTGCCATTTGTTTGGCTTCGCTGTTGAGTAAGTAACAACTGGCTGTTTATTTAGTGTCATGTAGGCAGGACTCGGAATTCCCCAAATCCCCTGACTCCTCGAATTTATTTTCATTTAATTTTTACACTCTGTATGTGTGTGTGTGGGTTTTTTATTAGCCCCTGCATTTAATTTAAGTTTGGTTAACAGACCAGTCTGTTTCGATCCACGGTTCGTTGGTTTCGTTGGGCCTGGGGCTTTCAAAAAATTCAACATTGCCTACTTTCAGGCAGAAGTGCTTAAAACACTGCCAGTCGTAAATATTGGGCAAGGGCGTTCTTAATTCTTTAAGAACAGTGCTCAGCTGATCCGCAATTATATATAGTATAGAGGGCTTTTAAGTCGAGCAATACGCCTGGTAAATTACTATCAACCCACCAACCCAGTTCCGTTCGAGTTGAGTTTCATTTAGGGGCACTGCAGTAAGTCAAGTGCAATCTTACTAAGCCATTGCATCAGGCTTTATTGATAAACTGGTTCAAAAGTGCTCAAACTGAATATATTTAATCACTCAAAGAACCATGAGCCCATGCAGATCGCTCTTAGTATTAAAAGCACAAATGTGAGTTTACAATTTATTATCAATGTATGTTACCAATAAGCTAAATTTGTCCAATGTTTTGGAAGACTTTTAGTTTAACAATGTAATAATGTTCATACGAAAACATTTTAAGCTTGGTTTGATTAATTTTGTTTCTGTATCTAAAAAAAAATCATATAACACGCATTTATTTACATTACTAAAAAGTAGACTAAATAGAATTTGCATTAAACAAAATTAATGTTTTGTAAAATGTATTTACTTCTCAAAACGAAATAGATCTGTCTATACTTATGCACTGAGTTTTAAGAATTGTAAAGATGTATTAGAATTAATCGTATTAAAAAACAAGAAAGGAAAGCTAACTTCGGGCGGAGCCGAAGTTGATATACCCTTGCAGAATACTCTATAATTATATTCTCCAAAATTATTCCTATGATGCATTCTTAATACTCATAAAAAATCCAAACTTCCTATCTTTAAAAACACCAAAGTTATGGCATTTCCAATCGTTCAGTTATATGGCAGCTATAGGATATAGTCGGCCGATCCTTATGAAATTTGGTAGGTCGGATTGATTGGCCAAATATAAAACCTGTAGAAAATCCCAACTTTCTAACTTTACAAACACCAAAGTTATGGCATTTCCGATCAATCAGTTATATGGCAGCTATAGGATATAGTCGGCCGATCCCGGCCGTTCCGACTTATATACTGCGTACAAAGGAAAGAAGGCTGTGTGCAAAGTTTCAACTTGATAGCTTTAAAACTGAGAGACTAGTTTGCGTAGAAACAGACAGAAGGACAGACGGACAGACGGACATGGCTATATCAACTCAGGAGGTGATCCTGATCAAGAATATATATACTTTATAGGGTCGGAGATGCCTCCTTCACTGCGTTGCACACTTTTGACCAAAATTATAATACCCTCTGCAAGGGTATAAAAAAGGAAATACAAATCAAATTTCTTATCAGTCTGACTTAAGTTCAAATCAACAACTACGGAACAATGATGAACTTAGAACACAGCTGGGGTTTTCCAGATTCAATGAATCTTATTATTTTAGCATTAATTTGCAGCTTTAAAGGTGAATTCAATTCTGAAATATAATAAATGTAAGTTAAAATTAAAAAAGTATTTAGTTAATTACGTCTTTTTAAGTGGCTAATATGTACTTTATTATTAATATTAATATAATAATATGAAAACACTTTAAATATGCATATTATAAATTAGAATAAATTACATGAATTAATTTTAAGACAGCTAAAAATATGAATCAAATATCTTGAACCAAAAAATAAAACAATTGAGGGGAAGCTACCAGTCTGATTATATTTAAATTCAACAAATACAGAAGACTCCGGAAACAGGTGGGGTTTTTATATTTGCATAATGTTACTCGAAACTCACCGTAGCAGGAAACAAGAAGTCGAAAGTAGATTCAACCAGCTTCGCCGGAAACAATCGGGGAAGACCTAATAGTAATAAAGAAGGCGAGCCTAATCAGCAAAGTTTACAGCTCTATAGAATAAGTCGCCGCAACCAACTAACAAGGCGCCAGTTAGAGTACTTTAGATTATTTGTAAGTTCTATAAAGATCATTGGGCCTTTTGGGGTCTTGCTTGTTTTGACAAATTACAATCTAATTGCGCAAATATTAATCTCATCTCATTTTGATGAGAATGCGTTAAAATGTCTGCGTCTCAGTTCTAAACTTACTAATCCGAGTGAAATCAGTTTTTGAGTGAGAGCTTTGAGCAAAACTCTTATCATTCCGAGTGGAAGCTTCTGGTGCGGAGTCTGCGGAATAATGGGGGCTTCTGCATCTAGCCAGATGAAACGAGGACCCAACACAACTCAGTTTGCGTCGAGCTCTGCAAAGAAACGGACGTGTGAGCTTTTTTCCAGGATAACTAAGATTTCGGGACTTCGAGGCGGCAAAAGATAAACAGTTTCGTATTGAAGAAATCGGAATATATTTAGAAAGCATAGTGCATTAATTCATCAATCTCAAAGTGATTTATAGCTAAATATTTAAGAAATATACAAATATTTAAATTTAAAAAAGAATTTAAATATAATAAAATAGTTGTTAGTTCAAACAGCTGCTAGCGACCAGCAAAAATCAATGGCAAGGCCAAATAAGGCCGACAAACGTTAGCAGACAGACTGAAAACAGTTTGTTGGCGTCCCTTTGGCGGTAACATCAAAAGACATCAGCGTTCAAAGCAACAGCAGCTTTTCCCCCAAAAACGGAAGCTTTTCCGCTGTGCCTCGGTGTGTGTGTGTTTTCCTTTTCCTTTGCCGTTTTTTGTATTTTTTTCACGCTTCTGCGCGCCACTTTTTATTACATTTACATTTAGCCCACTTGGCCCTCTCTTTTTTGGGGCATCTCTTAGAAACGCTCTTTACAAACTGGCATAATTATGTTCTGATTTTACCAAGAACTCAAAATTGCATTGGATTACATGAACTTGACATCGAATGTAAGCCAAATACCCGAAACTTGCCATTTACGCAGCATATCAAGTCAAACCCCTAATGAATATCAGATAATCTTCACACATTCCCTGTGAATTAATCCGTTATAATTGTTATTTATATTAATCAATTTGAATTTAAAATTCCCAGTCAAGTGAAAGTTTGTGAGCGTTATAATTCCCGCCGACATGTCAAAGTACAAAATGGCAATTAAATGTAAACAGTCAGCTCGGCTTAACTCAACTCCCTTAAAAAATAATGTTCCATGCGAGGATTATGTAAAGTTCTGATAAAGCGACCGCATTAATAAATATTCAATAAATATCAGACAAGTCGACAAGAAAAAAGTGGCTTAATTAAAGCGTTTAAGCGTGGGAAATATGAAAACTGAAAAAACGATAAGAACAACACATGAAATATAATAAAGAATTATACAATTTAAATTCTTTGCGGTTATAAAATTGTTAATTTAAATACATAGTGTAAAATAGCTAATATTTGGCCATAAAAAATTAAAGTTCAATGCCATTTTTTATATAATTGATATATTTAATCATGAGCAAATAAGTAATTAAAATATTATTTTTAAATTCTCGGAAGAATAAATCAAGTCAATTGCTTCTCAATAAATATGTTTAAAGTGAATAATAATCAAGTTAACCATTAAAAACTGAATGAAATACTTTAAAAAATATACAAAAAGCCATAAATAAAACCGGAACACAAATTCAATTTTAACGCTCGAAAATAAAAACTTCGGTGCAGATGAAACCAATTAAAATGACATTTTCGCCCGCATAAATTTGTATATTATTTGTGAAACAAAAAGAGTGGCGTACTTTTGAGTTACTGCCACTACTGCAGGTTGTGCTGATATTATGCTGATGTTTCCGTCTGCCATTTTTGCTGGGCGACTACTTGATTGCCATTTAAAATAATTATGATTACACTCCCACAACAGAGAGCCCAGTGCAAACATTCGCGCGACAACAAACCCGAATAAACAGCTATTTAATTTAATAATTCAGCCGAGCACTTAAGCCAGAATATTATCATACAGTAGAGCTTCCGAAGGGCCGAC